TCTCTCTCTCTCTCTCTCTCTCTCTCTCTCTCTCTCTCTCTCTCTCTCCATCTCTCTCTCTCTCTCTCAAGGAATAGATGCAAGTGGTGACGGTCCTCTTTGAAATTGCCCAGCTTATTAATCTATAAACCATGCTTTCCAGAATGTGTGTATTCGCTGTAACATTTCCTGGGCACATTGCAGGGGTCAGGTCCTACCCACGTACTGATCACCAGGTGCCCCACACTTTGCTATTCACAAAACTGAGCCCTAAAGGGAATCCTAGAGCTGCAGGCCCTTTAGCCCGGGCTGGTGTGTGCTCCCCTCCAGCGTGAGAACACTGGACGTGGACAGTGGCAGCCTGCTTGACAGAGATGTGGGGACTTTTTGGACAAGGTTGATGACCATCTCCCTGGCTCCCTTCCAGATTCCACAGACGGAGAGGGTGACTGGAGTCTCTGGTCTGTCTGCAGCGTCACCTGTGGGAACGGTAACCAGAAACGGACCCGCTCTTGTGGCTACGCATGCACTGCGACCGAATCTAGGACCTGCGACCGTCCAAACTGCCCAGGTGAGTTTACACTGGGGTGTGGATGCAAGTGTCAGGAAAAGCTTTTAAATTTATATTTTAAAACTTTGAGAAATTATCTTTTTAAAAGATGGCCATTTCCCTCACATGACTTCTGACCAGAGTGAGACAAGAGACAATTAATGCCGGGGATATAGCTCAGTGGCACAGCGCCTGCCTGGCAAGCAAGAGGTCCTGAATTCAATTCCTAGTAAAAAAAAAAGAGAGAGAAAGAAAGACAGAGAGAAAGCAAAAAAAAAAAAAAATCAATGAACTTAATGGGCAAAAGGACGGATGTTCCGAGTCCTATGCGCTGTGGAAGTAGCCGTGACCTGGAAGACAGGGCTCCATTGTACTTGGTTAATTTAAAGAAAGGACTCTGGTGTGTTTGGGCCTTTGATGTGGGATTTGTTATGACTCGAAAAGGCACATGAAGACAGACATTTATGGTTTAACAAGGAAGCCGGGATGAGAGGGTCAATAGCCAGCTACAGAAAAACCGCAGTTAACCCTGTCAGTAATACCTGAGAGTTGCCTAGGGCTCCGTAGGGAGCAAACTGAGGCTACTCAGCATCTCATTATGACTTTAGACGGCATTGTCAGTGCTTTAAAAGTTAAACTAATTGCAAACTTGGTGAGGGCTCCTACCAGGAGTAAGCAGTAATTGTGGCCAACCCTAATGCTCCAATGCTGGTTGTCAAACCATGTCCAGTGGGCCAAGTTCAGCCTATCAGCCGTTTCTTTAGGCACAATACATTTCTAAAGGGCTGCAAAGAAAAGGAGGAGGAGAAAGAAGAGGAGGAGGAGAAAGAAGAGTAGGGGGAGGAAGAAGATATGAGAGGAGAAGAAGAGGAGGCAGCAACCAAGATGATTATAAATGATCCTCAAACCCTAACATTTGTACCCTCTGCCCCTTTACACAAGAGCTTACCAACTCCTGGGCAAGAGTTTGGCTACATATTCCCATCGCCAGGTAGAATACCAGCCTACAGTAATATGTCAGGCCTTTTCAGGAAACCACACATTTCAAATGGCTTCATTTAAAAGAACTTTTGGAGACAGAAAACTTGAACCCAGTACGCAAGACCTCCTTTTGCTACCGCTAGACACTCTGTTCTCAAACCAGAGACATTTGGAACGAAACAGAAGTGGAAACACAAGGGGTTTGTAAGGGGAGAGTGGAAGAGTCCTTCGGCATGAGTGTGTTTGTTAGCAAATGGGCACATGCAGGAAGTGGGGCTGACAGGCAGGTAGTGACAGCCACACAGATTTCAAAGCAGCAGAGCAGCCATAAAGTTCCTTTTTCTGATTCTTCTCATGTCCATCATAATGAGCGGAGTGTGAAATCTGGTGAGTGGGATTTGGATGGATAAGAACAAACCAATTAATAACATGAGGAGGAAGAAGAAGACAACAGGAACATAGAAAAGAAGAGAGCATGAAGTAAAAGATAGAGATGATGATGATGATGATAAGGAGTTAAACCAAAGGAAAATGAAAAGAGCTGGGGATGTGGCTCAGAGGCAAAGCACTTGCCTAGCATGCCTGTAACCTGGGTTTGATTTCCAGCGTAAAAAGAGGAAGGGAGTGAGAGAGGGAGAGAGGGAAGAAGGAAGGAAGAAAGGGAGGGAGGGAAGGAAGGGAAGGAGGAGAGAGGGAGGGAAAATGGAGGGAGGGAGGAAGGAAAAGAGGGGAGGGAGGAAAGAAGAGGGGAGGGAGAAAAGGAAAAAGAAATGGAGGGAGGGAAAGATGATGAAGAAAGAGTTGAAGAAGAAAAAAGTAAAACATGCTGAAGAACAAGAGTTTTTAAGTACGTTAAGATCAACCAACTTCCCACAGCTTGCGTGCACATCACTTCATCTGACCCTCACAATGGCCTCACGAGATAGATATTTATTGTTGCTCCTACTCGGCATCCCTGGAAAATGAGGCCCTGGGGCAGCAGCAAGGGATCAGTAGTGAATTTGAATCCAGTGTGTTTAACCAGTGAACCCTTCCCGCTCTCCCAGGAGGGTCCCACACAGACACAGGCAGCATTCCGTGGCAGGGTTTAGGGGCTTGCTTGTAGTGTTCTCTTTCAGAGCTGGCATCCAGATCCCAAGTGGTAGATTTAGATTTCTTATCAAGGGAAGGCTGTTTGCTGCCGCCATTTTGAATGCTTCCTTCTTGATTTTTTGGCACCACTGACGGCAGTGTGGCCGACAACTCTGCTCATGCATTTTTTTTCCTCGTTGGTGCTTGATCCCCTGTCTTTTCTACATCTCTGAACCAGCTTTCCAGGGCTCACTGGGAACCAGACAGACTTCCTTTTGCAGGATCTCTTGCCTTATTTGGTTTGTTGAGTCTCATCTTTACAGGGAAGAATCACAGAGCAAACAGGGTTGCCCTGGCCTGACAGTGTAAAGCATGTTCCCTGTGTTAACCCCACAAATATGGTTTGAGGGGGCTTACATAAAATCAGAGAGCCCTTAAAGGAAATCAAGTCCCTCCCAGCAGACAAAGTTTCATGACCCTCCGCTCTTCCTCATCTTGCTTTACCTTGTGCAGAATTCCTGTCTGCAGAGGAAGCTGGCTGGGGTAGGAGTTTTGAAGAGAGCCTGAAGGAAGCTGGAAAGTTTGAAAGCAAGCTGGGTTCAGTTCCTCAGAGTGATCCCAGCTTACTCTTTCTGAAGCGCCAAACAGCAAGGCTCAAAGTCCTAGCCCTGGAGATAGCTGGCCTTTGGCTCAGAACTGCTGCATCTCAAATGGTGGTAGCTGAATACTGAAGAGGAAAACATCAGCTAGCACTTACCCCTGACCCTCCTGCTCTAGCTGCTTTCAAAACACACAACTCATTTAATTCTTTCAGCTCCATGGGGGGAGGCTGAATGACAGAGTCATTCAGTTCTTCCCACTTTGGAGATACAAAAACTGAGGCACGCCAGAGGAAGCGGCTTATCCTGGTTCACACAGCTTGTACTGATTTGGACCCAGGCAGTGTCAGTCATTAAAGACAGGTATTAACCACCACACTCTACTGCCGCCGGGTTAGGCTGTCACCCTGAAGCCTCCGGACAACCACCCTGACATGTACACCCCACTGGCCAAACCTCATCCACAGACGGAGGGAATGAGTTCCTCAGGACTCATTTAGGCACATTTGGATCGGATTTCGTGCTCCAAATGGTACCTGGGGTTTCAATATATTTTATGCGCTACTACCTGCTTTTTACTGTTTCCTCTGTTGGCAAGTTTCTGCCCATGAGTAGAAGGGAATACAGAAAAGGCTTTGTTCAGGTGTATTTGTTTTTTATTTGGGAGGGGGTGACTTTTTCCATAGAACGAGGGGAAAATGAGCTCTTGTCTGTGTCTAGGCATTGAAGACACTTTCAGGACGGCGGCCACCGAAGTGAGTCTGCTTGCGGGAAGCGAGGAGTTTAATGCCACTAAGCTGTTTGAAGTCGGTGAGGATATTTTTTTTTCTTCTTTTAAACCAAATATTGATTTAGCTCTTTGGAGATTCCTTTTGCCTTCGCAGTGCCATCCTTGGATCCACGTACGTGTTTCATTTTCCTCTTCTGGGGTCCAGCTCTCCCTGCATATCTCTTGCTCACTGAAAGGCTCCCAGCAAGACAGCGATCGTGTCCCTCCTCCAGCAGACTGAGCCCCGAAACCTCTTCAGGCTCCGCAGGGGAAGGCCCACCTCAGCACAGCACCAGCATGGCAGGAGCTCAGTCCTCTGGAGCCTGTGCTCACTCAACCTTCAGTGTGCGTCCCCAGTAAAATCCATTCTCCAGCAGAGGGAAGGAAGTAGAGAGAGAGAGAGGAAATTTCTCAGTATGATACCCTCCCCTCTCCTGCAAGATGTTTCCTAAACCTCTGGTCCACTCTGCTGTGCTACGTTCTTGTAGCAGGGTGGAGGGTTGTACTGAACCCGGAGGCCAGTGACCATGGGCAGCCCTTACCACTTCATGGCCTGAAGGAACCGGGGAAGGAGCAGTGACCAAAGCCCAGCGAGAGGGCCGCCGGTCAGCAGTCTTGGCTCACAGAAGGATGCGGACAGTGCAGTGGAGAGAGAGGAGCCGAAGAAATAGAGGCCTGACCTCACAGTCTTGCCTGTGTCTGGCCTTGGGGTCCTCCCATTGGCTCAGCCCACTCAGAGGTCAGGGATGGAGGAGCCTGTTGATAGACCAGCCTTCCGGGGCTGGAGAGGCACAGAACAAGGACACAGAAGGGCAAGTCGAAGATGAGCAAAACAGAGCTAGGGAAAGTTAGACAGGCTTAAGGTTAAGTTTCTTTACCCAGCACTGCCTCAAGTTTTCTGATCTGCAAAAGGGTCAGCAGTACCCACCTCCCGGAGCTACTGCAGAATTCAAGGAGCTAATATCTGTAAAGCATTTACACTAAAAACCCTGCATAAGCTTGACAATAATATAAAATAAGTCAGTGGGTATCTTGTAGGCACACGAATTAGACTGACCTCCCACCCTGGAAGGGAAACCCGGAGCCATTTTCTGGGGCTGCATGAATTTTGTCCCCGAAGACCTTGCCCTCCCAAGGGGAAACTGTGGGCTTTGCAGATGACACTGCCTACAAGGGAGCTGTTATTGTGTCCATAACTGCTCAGTCAGGAAGTTCCAGCCATGGGATAGTGGAACTCAGAGCTGAAAGCAGCCACTGCGGGTCCTAGCTGGCCACGCCCTGGACATTGTCCTGAGTATTCTGTTCATTCCCTCCCATCTCATCTTCACCCTAATTTTATGAGAGGAGTGCTATTTTTAGGACCAATTAAAAAATGAGAAAACCAGTGTACAGTGATGTAAAACCTGCCCGTTTGCAGAGCTGTTAAGCAGATTCGTTGAGGTTCAATCAATCCCAGACAGTTTAGCATGAGACCCGAGACTTGTCACTCTGTACCAGACCTCCAGGGATTCATGAGGGATGCCCCGTCTCTTGTCTTCATTCTACTGGTGAGGGCTCCAGCCTGCTCCAGGCTGCCCACTCATAACACCACCAGCCTCCCAGGCACCTGGCTGTGTGCTGGAGTCATTCTCAAGGGCTCCTCTCTTTCCTCCCAGCTCTACAGCCAAGACCTGACATCGCTCTCTGACCACCCACTTCCCACCAGGGCATCTCACCTAGGCTCTTATATCAGCACTGGATTCATTTTCTTGCTTCATAACTCAGTTAATAAATGTCTCGCTTTCATTCACATTTCAGCGGCTCCCTAGTGCCCTTTGAAGAGACCTAAACTGAACAAAACCTCCATGATCTGCCACCAACAATCATATTTCCCTATACTTTCTGCTTCAATAAAAAGGAGTATGTTTCCAACTCCAGACAGCCGTAGGGATGCATGGCTCAGAGGGTAGACCCAAAAGGAGCTCCTGCTGGAGGCTGCAGGTCAGCCACATGCCCATAGCAGACTCTCTTGCAGGAGATCTGAGCAGGCCCCTGCTGTGTCTCAGGACCAGCCCCGTGCCACATACTCTTGTGTGTTTGAACACTGGCTTTTTACCTTTGCCCTCCTTCATGCAACCTGCACTCCACTTCTCTTGGCTTCCTTAGTTGAATGTGCTTCAGCTTACCTACGGCAGCCCACTGAGGCAGATGCTGTTGGTGACCCACCCACACCCCTCCCTCCTGCACCTTGTCCCTGCACCCCAGCCTGACTTTCAGCTGCAGTCCCCTTGTTTCTTTGCCCAAGAGTATCTCTCACCACCCAGCCCATTGGCCCATGACTGCAGGGCAGCTGTGAGCCAGCAGCAGCCCGTGAGGGCGATCATAAGAGCTGGTGGATAAATACCCAGAGCCTGTAGATAAAAGCACATCCGGAAGTAGTAGAGACTGTCGGGTGTTATCTCCCTATTATTGCAGTAGGGCCCATGCTGCGTCCACACAGTCTGCAAGCCTGCCCAGGATCAGGCAGAGAGAGATCCTCTATAGAGCACTAGATAAAGCTGGAAAGAGCAGCAAGTAAAAGTGGATGGAGGGTGGTAAGATGGAATAGTGGGTCTCAGTGTTTATCCTGAGGCCTGCTTTATTTTCCTGGCAGCGCCTTAAGGAGAGGCCTGTGTTCCCTCAGGCTGAGGGCAGACCAAGGCCCAGAGCCTTGAAGAAAGAAAAATCAAGATTTGGTTAAGGTGCATTCTGTTCTCATCAGTAGTGGGGACATGATGCGCAATTCAACTAATCACTTATGAAGGAAAGAAAAGGATTGGGAGGGTCTGTGTCTGGGCTTGTCACAGGTAAAGGGGGCACAACTATGAGGCTCATCCAGGTTCTATGGGAAAAGGAGTTGTTTGCAGTAAGTTCTTGTCCAAAACATGAAACAGGGCCTATGGCAGAGCCCTTCTCATCTCCCCTGAACTTGGGACCATCTGTGTCCATTTCCCCTCACCTGCTTGAGCCACACCCAGTGTTGGCTGCCCTCCCTTTCCTGCTCCCTAGCTGCCTGCCGTGTCCTGGAATCACCTCCCAAGAAACCAGTCCTGCTGGAATCTCTGCCTCAGGGTCTAGAAGAATCCACACAGGGACGCTGGCTAAACCATAGGTCCCAGATGCCAAGAAGAAGCCAGGAGTGATGGGTCAAGCACAGGCCATGTGGAGCTGGGGACTCCGGTGTTGTCTGAGGAGGGGCTACCACCTCCCTCCCTGTTCACAAGGCCAGTGTAGGACCAGTTAGATACATCTGTGGTTTGTCAAATGAAGTGAGGAGCCAGTCATGATTGGAATCAGCTAATTCTTAAAGATTTGCAAGTAATCAGTATTTTTTTAATACAGTAAGAACCAAACACAATATGAGCCCCCTTCCTCTTTGAGCTACCTTGTTATATGAATTGGCATACAATCATTATCATCTGCCTGAAGTTAAGATGTTGGGAGTTCACCTCTATTTTAAACCAGTCAGTGAATGACACACATGAAATCCGGGACTATCAGTGTCCCTTAGAAGCCTTTCCTGTCACATCACCACTTAATTAAGAGGAAATTAAATACAGCTCTCTAGGTTATTGTTAGTTTTCTTAGGGTCAGTGAGGAGGCTATAGTTATCTAGGAAAATATCCTATTTTTAGATTTGGGGGTTCTGTGGGTTTCTTAGATGCCTACTAAAATTTAACAGGTAATAATACACATTTCTACATAATTTTTAAAATGCTAAAGCAAATACGATAGTTTAATCTGGGGATGATGGAATGTTGGTGGTCATTAAATAAGTATATTGTTTACTTTTTGGTGTGTTCAAAATTTTGTCATAATGCAAAGTAGGGGGTCAGGGGGAGACCTGGTAAACAAAGAGGTTCCCAAGTTCAGGGGTGCTGAGAATGGCTCCACCCCCACCTCAGCCCAGTGGTTCCTGATGCCTGTAGGGGTCCCTGACTCTAGGAGGCAAGTTTCTGGCTTCTTTGTGCTCTGGCCACCCAGTTTTGCAAGTGACAAGACACTCTCTCTCTCTGGGCTTTTCTAGACACAGACAGCTGTGAGCGATGGATGAGCTGCAAAAGCGAATTCCTGAAGAAGTATATGCACAAGGTGATCAATGACCTGCCCAGCTGCCCCTGCTCCTACCCCACCGAGGTGGCCTATAGCACCGCAGACATCTTTGACCGCATCAAGCGCAAGGACTTCCGCTGGAAGGATGCCAGCGGACCCAAAGAGAAGCTGGAGATCTACAAGCCCACGGCTCGCTACTGCATCCGGTCCATGCTGTCGCTGGAGAGCACCACTCTGGCTGCCCAGCACTGCTGCTATGGCGACAACATGCAGCTCATCACCAGGGGCAAAGGGGCAGGGACGCCCAACCTCATCAGCACTGAGTTCTCTGCTGAGCTGCACTACAAGGTGGATGTGCTGCCCTGGATCATCTGCAAGGGCGACTGGAGCAGGTACAATGAGGCGCGGCCGCCTAACAACGGGCAGAAGTGCACCGAGAGCCCCTCGGATGAGGACTACATCAAGCAGTTCCAGGAGGCCAGGGAGTACTGAAGGGATGGCAAGGTGCGCAGGTGCCACCTCCGGTTTTGAGGCACACACGTACTGCACTGATCGCCACGTCTTCCTGTGTGTTTAAGTGTATATTTGTATATATCACATGAGTATTTTTTATGAATTACACAAGGGATGTGCAGCAGGCCCGTGTAACACCTGTGGGAAGCCACGCTTACCATGCAAGGATCTCCGTGGAGGTGGCCATGTGGGCAGGAGGTTGGGACACCAGAGCAACCAGAGGAGGAGCCCTCTAGGCTCAAGGGTGTGATCCAGTGTTTCCAGACACACAAAGGAGGAAAGAGACTGAAGCTGTAAACATTATAAGCAGTTTTTATATATAACTTATTTAATACAAACGTGACTTGAGCTTAACCTTTTCTCTGGAGTTGTCATTGTAAAGCTATTTAATCACTTTGCGAGAATCAGAAAGAGCAGGGCCTAGGGAAGTGGGAGAGAAAAGGAATTTTGCAATGGTTTCCTTACAGATAAATAGTGCAATGGAAACATATCCAAACAAGAAAACGCCCATGTTAAGCCAAATGTTGTGTAGTCATACGGCACCTTGCTGGAGTCTCAGATTCCAAATTTCTCTTGCCTTAGACTGGGTATTTGTAGGGGCAAATCTGAGCCCTGGCTTTAAATAGACTTTAAAAGAAAAGATGAACGTTAGCATAATGCTCTGATTTTACTAAAAGGCCCCCCAAACAGTAGAATTTCTGCTCGTGTCTATAGTAGGTTCAGAAGATTGCAGTAAGTTCAGATGTAAAAAGAGTAGCACTTTTCCAAAGGAAAAAAGCAAAACAAATGCAAAAAGAACAGGGACCTCATTTCACCTAATAATGTTTTCTCCACCAGTATATCCCCAGTAAATACAATATAGAAAGGGAAGGGGTAAGCTGAAGTCTGGGAAATCCTCATTTTTTTATGTTTTAAGAAAGAAGAAAACTGCATTATTTTTGTAAAGTATTTATTGAGTCGTTGGGTCTTGTGCATCAAGCAATTGTAAGATGATCTGGTTCTGTAGGGTAAAACTTAGGACAAATAAAGATTGGGTTCCTATGCAATATTTTACTTGCAAAACTCCAGGAAAAGAGAGTATATAATAAAATCATAATAAAATGTGTTCCCTGCATCCTTGATTTATGATACAAGTACCATAAACAGCCCTAGTAAAGCAGGCCAGGGGAGAGAAAATTCAACCCAGGGGTAATGAAAGGCTCATTGATTGACACAGCGGTGGCCGGTGTAAGTCAGCATCTTTGGCACCAGGAGTGTCTACCCAGCCCCTGAGTGGCTGAAACCCATTGACACACACGTGGCTATTCACCCGCACCGAGCGGAGAAAACCAAGCCAGAGCAAAGGCTTAAAACAGCTCAGGTATCGCTTCTCGGCCTTTTGGCTAAGATCAAGTGAAGACGGCTCCAGGGAGCAAGGCCACTTTCAAACAAAATTCTGCAGTTACAGTAGTAAGCAGAACTACTTTATCATGTAAATTACTCCTTTTCTAGATAAGAAACAAAAGTATAAAAAAAAAAAAAAAACCCACATTGGCCCCATTTTTTTATTTTCTAGCCTGGCACTCTTTTTACAAAAAAAAAAAAAAAATCAGATTTTTGGTGTCCTTATATGCATAGTAGCTTTGGTAATCTTGACCTGAACCTTAAGTTCTCTATATAAAGATCCTGTTCTTTAAAAAAACTCGTATCAGTCACTTTAGAATGAATTATTTACACTTCAGGTGCATTGCCCTGAATGCATTAGACGCATTACAATATTTATATTTAGGATCTTCATCTAATTATGGAATGAGGAGCCTTATTCATAGCTGAGGGAATGCTATACAACAGAACTAACACAAAGAATCAATGGGTCCCTACATCAGGGAAGCAGATTTGCCAGTCTGTACCCCAGAGGGGGACTGCCAGTCCCCTGACTATACATGGCAGGAAAGGAAGCAGAAGGACGGCCAAAGGCAGAGATCCTCCTCACCTCCGCAATCTTCCATGTTACATGACAGTGCTCTGCTGCGCACGGGTCTCCTAATCTGTAAACTGGGATACAACCCCCCAACACCCTACCTAGATTGTGCCAGGGGTGTTTGATGTCTCCAACACCCTCCAGTATTTTCCGAACTTGTTCATCTTAGTCCAGCTTTAAGCCAGCCGCTGCCGCAAGCCTTTGCCTGACAGATCTATCCACCCTAGAGCCCACCTTGCACAGAAGCAGATAGGAAGTGCCAGGGAGTTAACATCACCCCAGGAGCATTGAACAGCTGACTAACAGGCACAAATACCTCAGCTCCTTAAATCCTCCAGTGGTGCAATTGTGAAGTGGTGACATTTTATACCCAGTGGTACCATTTTTTTTTATACCCAGTGGAACTGAATTCCAGTTGCAGTGGTGCTAACCTGCTGGCTAACACATGCTTTTTTGGCTTCCTCCCCTTCTTCCTGTCTTCCTCTCTTCCCTACTAGCGCTTATTAGAATGGTCGCACAAATCATCTACTTGTGCAGATTCTTCTCTCAGGGCGTGCTTTTGAGGGATTCAAAAAAAAAAAAAAATGACCTCAGGCTTTAATATGTATTGACTGCTATTCACATATAAACCTGTAGCTGTGTGTGGTGGCACACACCTTAATCCAGCATTTGGGGAGTTATGCAGCCTGGGTAACTTGGTGATGTAACAAGACCCTTTCTCAAAATACAAAATTTAAAAAGGGAAGAGGATGTAGCTCAGTGCAAAGGCACTGGATTAAGTCCCTGGTATCAGGAAAGAAAAAGCCCATTATGATTGTCCTATTTGGCATCTGACGATGAGGTTTCATTTTAGGTGATACATCCACCAAAAAAGAAAAATCAACGTTCATCTGGCCAGATCTAAGAGCTCCACTAGATTTCAATACTGGTGAAGTTTTTATATAATAGAAATGAACTTCCAAATTTCATAATTAGATTCAACAGCTAGAAAATTACTCTACCAAATACCTCTATTAGTCCAATTTTCATCATTGTGAACAAATACCTGAGAAAAGCAACCAAAAGGAGGAAAAGTTTATTCTGCCTCACAATTTCAGAGATTTCAGTGGTCAGGGCGCTCCATTGCTGGTAGGTCTGTGACAAGGTAGAAACATCATGGTAGAAAGGCATGGCAGAGATAAGCTGCTCACTTCATGGCTGCCAGGATTCAGAGAAGGAAATGGCCGGAGCAGGAAGGGCTGGAGACAAGATACACGCTTCAAAGGTGTGGATCCCAGGACCTACTTCCTCCAACCAGGCCTCACCTCCTAAAACTCCAGCTATGCACTCATCGATGAATCCATTGATGAAGCCAGTGCCCTCACAATCCCATCACCCCTGAACATTGGTGTATTATGGACCAAGCCTTCCATACATGAGTCTCTGGAGGTCACTTCATAAACTCTACAAGTTTTTAAACACTTTTCTTAACTTTAGCATTCATTTCCTTGCAGACTATAGATAAGCCCGTGCTACTCCAAAGACCACAGCTTCCTCAAGTTACCTGAATGATATGATCAAAACCTCAGGAGCATCAACTCTGTCCTGATATACAGAGTTTTGAAAAAGCTTTCCAGGAAGTGGGACAAGGATTGTGAGGATGGGACCAATTTCTCTTTTTGTGACCCATTTGCAATTTCCAGTGGAAAAATGCGTGGCTCATCACCATTATCCCTGCACAATTTCAGACAAACTAAAGGCTTGCCTCAGTAATTACTGGATGGGTATATGCAGAAACGTACACGCAGGTGTACAGATCCTGCACACGGTAGTGTAATTAAGGCAGAAAGCTTATAGTCAGTTGCTTGTCTGAGGTTTGAAGTTGGTTCACCAGATGGGATTAGAAGAAGGTCATTTTCTAGGATCACAAGGTAAGATTTATTGAAACAAATTTATGGGACTAACAGCTCTTTGTTGAACCCTACCAAAAGAACAAACCTTAAATACAGATAAGTTTTTCAGATCCCCACTTACAGACCTGGAAAGCCAATATACAAAGACCAGCGCTTTGCCTGTAACGGCAAAAATAACATCATCCTTAGCCATTTTAGTGGCGGGAGAATTGGCAAGGGACTAGGTTGGGACACAGCTGCAATAGCAAAGCTGGGTAAGAATTTTATGACTCTGCTAATTTTCTATCTGTTCTGGGAGTAATAAATGTACCCTTATAGATATTCATGATTGCCCTCAAAATGAAAAAAATCTTTTAAATGGTACAGAAAAGTCTTTCATTCTTGAGACATGTAATTCATGGATGACTTTCAAAATGTCATGTTTGAATTGGGAAAGTAACATTTCTTGAATTAATCAGCCAATTGCTTCAAGAATATGACTCAAAGCATATAAAAATTTCAAGTCTTACTTTTTAAAAAGAAAGAGGAATTTTTTTCTATGCAGTTAAGTTTATTTTTCACAAAGGTCATGGTTAAATCTTTGATTTATTTGCCAGTGAAGAGAACTGTCTAAATGAAGTATGCCTTTCATTCCTTAGTGAAAGGGAATTTTAGCAAATTTTAACAAGCACTACTTTAAACTTTTACACCCCTAGACATGTACTTTCACTTTTTCTAGTGGTACACGCCTCTATGGCCCTCTACATACGACTTTTCTGGTGGCTTGTACTATGGTTGTTTTTCTGTTTTTGTGAGTTTTTTTCCCTTATCTTTGGAGAGTTCAGTAAATGGAGAAGAAGAAAGGAAGGGAATAACAACAACAAAAAAAAAAACCAACATCTTCCAGCATGAAATTCTCCTTGGGGAGGTGATTCATTACCCCTGCTGTCAACACCACCAAAGAAGGCCTTTGGTGGGGAGGGAGAGAGAGAAAGAAAGAGGGAGAGAGACCAAGACCCAAGGATCCCTTACATCTTCCCCACAGGATTACTATGAATACTTCCAGGAAGGGATTTGCAAAGGCCTGAGTCTCAGAGCCGCCTTGTGACCGGGGTTCCTTTGATTAAACGGAGTGATGTGTCTGATCTGGTTGCCATGGAGGGCAGGACTTCTTGCCAAGAACATTTCAGGGTCCCCACCTAGAATTCCACTGAGTGGAGATGAGGTCCACCTGCTCCGTGTCTCAGGGAAAAGTCCACCCTTGGGCCTCTCTTGGGCACTCTCCCTTGTGACTGAAGGACAGGGAGACAGCAGGGCAAGTAAAGGCTCCTTCACACCACCCGCCTGTAGCGAATGTACAAAACTGGAGGTTGACATAACACTGGCAGATCCACTTCTGTTCCACTCCTGCCTACTGTTTCTATGCCACCCCACCCAATCACCTTCCCCACAACTCCTCTCCCACCCAGTTTGCTACACAACTGACCTTCCTAGAGCCAGCTGGCTATTCTTTGGGTCAATCTTCTTTTAAAAACACTCTTTTAATACTGTATGAAAGTGTAACTTACACTCAGAAAAGTGCACACATTCAGTGTGAGCTTAATAAACTTTTACAGATTGAACACACCCCTGGAACCAATGGTCAGGGCTGAGCAATAAAACATAAGGCTTATGAGGGATGGGTCTCTGCAATGGGCTGGCAAAAATGCTCTAGACCTTGTGCAGCTGGATTGTAAAAATTCACTGAACTATGCCTGGCAAGTGCAAGGTCGTGAGTTCAGTTCCCGGTACCGGAGAAAAAAACAAAAAAAAACAAAACAAAACAACAACAAAAAAAAAATTCACTGAACTGTATATTTTTTTAAAAGTGAATTCTTGGGGCTGGGGATTTAGCTCAGCGGCAAAAGCGCCTGCCTGGCAGGCGCAAGGTCGTGAGTTCGGTTCCTGGTACCAGAGAAAAACCAAAAACAAAAAAAAAAAAAAAAAAAAAAAAAAAAAAAAAAAAAAAAAAAGTGAATTCTTAATATTTATTTTACCTCAACACAAAATAAATAAAAGGTACATTAGCAAAATTCTTGTTCTCCCTTCTAGTGAGGACCTATTCCTTACCAAAAATAATCACTACTAGGACTTCTACAATACGTTGGTTTTGAACCTCAGGTAAATAGAATCATGCAGCATAGGCTCCTTGATATAGCATCTTTCACTCAATCTGGTATCATGAGATTCTCCCGAATTGTTGTCTGCAGTGGTAGCTCATCCATCCTCGTCACT